TCGGGTATTCTGTGTTGTTGTTGGCGGAGCTCTCTGCTATTTGTCCACCTGATCCACCATCTTGTTTGTTCTCCCCCATTTGGTCTTTGATGAGGGATTCTGGACGTGCGACTCCAGTGTTGTCCTGTGGAGTTCGGCTGGAGTTTGGTGGATATTGTCACATGTTTTCTGTCCTGCCACACTGCCCCTCCCCTGTCTTCTGGCTAGACGGAACTTGGTTTTCCACGGGGTTCTTTTTGTCTGCTCTCAATGGCGTGTCTGTGTCAAAAAGAAACCCAGGAAACACTAGTCATTTCTCAGGTCCCAAGTTCGTTTGTCAGTCTGTCTTCTTCTCTCCAACTTTCAGAGTCTTGTTTGTTTTAGATATTCCCAGCTTGAGTTTTTAGCTGTACCTAATGGGAGGCGCAGGGGGAAGTGCATCTACTTGGTCTTTTCCCAAAATCACTGACTGGTGTGTGGAGAGACACTATGGTGGATGAAGCGCAGCAGCAAGCTAATTACTAAGACAAAAGACACAGGAGGCTCCCCCAGGACACTGGAGAGTCAGCTGCGTGGCCTCTTGGCCTCTAGTCAGTCACAGGACTACAGGAGAGAGCCTGGGCTCCTCACACCACAGGCAGCTTCCCAGCCAAGCTCTTGAGGCTCAAGGGAGCAGAGTTCTCATTAAGCATTGCTCACTGTCCCACCTGTCTCCTTGTGGTTTCTGTTACAGGAGCAAATCCAGCCACAGACCTGAGAGGGGCAGGCTTCCTTGCCCTCCTGCACCTGCTGTATCTAGTGATGGACTCCAAGACCTTGCTGATGGCACAGGAGATTTTCCGACTGTCTCGTCACCGGACCCAGGTATGGCTTTGTTGGGAAACCAGAGGAGAGTTCTGTGGATCTAGGATCTGGGCAGCAGTTTCCTGAGGCAGCCAAGAAAGCCTGACAGGTAGAAGGCTGTATTGCTGAGGGCACTTGGGACAGCTGGACAGCCCCTGCCATTCTCACCTGGGCTGGAATGTGAGCTCCAGCACTGTGAAGTCACTGGTATCTCATGGAAGTTGCTCAACTCCTCAGAGCCTTAGTTTCCCCATGTGTAGGATGGAGATCATAGAAACCTGAGCTGGGTACTTGGGAAAATTAAATGAGATAATGTACAGAAGCACTTACTAGAATTGATTCTTGTCTTAGCTCCCTAAGGAGATCTTTTGTACAATATCAGTAATCTCTCCTGGCCAAGAGGACAAGAGTTAGTTAGACTAAGAAGAGATTTACCTTGGGTCAGGTGACACTGATTTACCGACAGGCCCGAGTCCGGCTTCTGCAGCCCCTGGATTTCGGTCCCCAGTCTGCTTTCTGGGGCTGGGATTCCACCTTTTCCCAGGTAGGAAAAGGTGGTATTCCCTTAATTTTAGAAAACACATTTAACCATATAGAGTGTATCAGAAGGAGGTCAGGACTAAGGAAAAAAGGACAAATAGGGCAGGGTGATGGTTGTTGTTAATTACCATCCATTCAGTTTCGACACATAGTGACCCTGTATGAAGTTTCCAAGGCTGTAACTCTTTGAGGGATCAGAATATTATATATTATATAGGATGGTCAACTGTGAAGATACTTGCCATTAACCGAAATGCAAAGAGTAAGTTTGAACGCTCAGTTTTGGCGTGTAAATTTTGAGAGGCCTGTCTGATTTCCAGAGCCCTAGTGTGGCACTGTAGGATAAGCACTGGGCTGGTAACCACAAGGTTGGAAGTTCAAACCCACTAGCTGCTCTTGGAAAGCTCTTGGAACCAACTCCACATATGATTTCCAAGTAGGGCATACAAAACCACATATGATTTCCAAGTAGAGATGTGGGGTTAGCACTTAATAGATGAGTATGGAGCTAAGGAGATTAAAATTTAGGAACTATCAGCATGTAGGTCAGTGACTAATGGTGTGCTTCCCTGACCAGCAGCAGCATCTGGAAACTTGGGTTGCTTTCTTTCCTTTTTTTCACTTTTTATTGCTAACTGAGTGAAAGTTTACAGAGCAGATCAGTTTTACATCCAACAAACCATACACTTGGCTTCATCTCAATGATTGCAGTTCCTTCCGTGCAACAATAGTCATCCCACTGCCTCACTGTGCTTCCTATTTTCGTTCCTCCTTTTCCCCCAACCCTTCTGAACGTTGTCCTTGAGTAAATGCTGCCCTTTTCATCTCCAATGGTTGGCCCTTTCTATCGGCAACTTATAGTCCTATCTATTGCTTGGCTGAAAATTGAGCCCTAAGAGTGAGTTCAGTTCCGGACCTTAAGGATAACTGGGGTTCCACCAGTCTCCATTTGACCAGTAAGCCTGGTCTTTTTCTTTTTTTATGATTGTTTTTGTTTTGTTCCATATTCTCTCCAGTTCTAGCCAGGATTTTAATGTGATGCCTTTCAGAGCAGTTGGTAGTGGTGTCTAGGCATCATCTAGTTCTCCTAGTCTCAGCGTTGTATTCTATTAGTCCCCTGAACCTTGTCTCAAAGTAACTTCCATTTTCATCACTTTCCTTTCCTTTGAACAGGGAAAGATCAATAGTTGTACCTTAGATGGCCATTCATGAGCTTTTAAGCTCCCAGTCACTATTCACCAGAGCAGGATATGGAACATTGTCTTTGTGGAGTACATTATGCCAATTGACCCTGTGTAGTGGTTTCTTTTACTTGCTGCTCTTTTTCTTTTTGATTGTAATGTTGCCTTAGTCTCTTCCAACTTGTGACAGTTTCTCAGCTTTTCCTGTTCAAGGGGCCCCAAAAAAAGCCATGAAAAAAATGCAATGAAAAGAAATGGAATTTTGCCGTGAAGTTTTTGAAGCCCCCTCATATTTCATGGCTTTGACACATTTGATAAGTACTGGACACTTGTTTTGTAGATTGTTCCTCAGTGTGGCTTCCCTGATGATTTTTCATGATTAGATTTTTAGCTCGAACCCCAGAGTTCACTGATGTGCCCATCTCAGTGCCTTGTATCATGACTATATGATGTGAATATGTCTAATTACTGTTGATGTTAGCCTTGACCATTTGGGTAAAGTGGTTTCTCCACTTCAAAGATACTGCTTTTCCCTTTGTACCTTATAATTAATCCAGGAATATACCTGGAGACAATGCAGGTATCTTGTTTCTCCTCAAATGTTTTCCCATACTTTTCAGCTTCACTGGTGGATCTTGCCTGTAACAGTTATTACTGTGGAGTTTTAATAGTGATTTTTGATTTCCATCATTTCTTCTACATTTATTATTTTAAACTCTTCTATAAGCAATAGTTCTCTCTACTTCCCCATTTATTTCTTTCTTTAATTATTTTTATGGCAGTGTGGACCCATGTATATTTATTTTATTCTATGGGTCATAACCCAATACTATCGTAATTTATTCTTCTGCTGAAACTGCTCCATCTTTGGCCATTAGGAACTCTTTCAGTTGTCACCTCAAGGTGCTCCAAACTCAGATTGCATTTTCCCCACCCCAACCCTTGCATTTCTCCAAGCTCATTTCTCCAAGAAGCTTTGGTTTCTTGAGTTAAAGAGTGGTATTTAGAAACCAAGATCTGAGTGCTAGGTGTGCTCATTGCTATTGGGGTCTTACTATGTCCAAGTCCTCAAAGTAAACAAAACTTAGTAACGTACAAGGAGGCTTCAATAAGTTAATGGAAAAATGAAATGAAGAGATAAATGGAGTTTTTCCATGAACTTGTGCAACCTCCCTTGTCTGTGTGTGAATCAGGGGTTCACTCTTGATTTCTGATATGATAAGGTCCTCACTGATGAGACCAGGCCTAGCCCCCAGTAGCACTTCACAGACAACTGGAAGGTGGATGTGCTTTGGTGCTATCTGAGGAGAAGAGCCAGACAAGGAGGATCTGCAAGATCAGACCTACAGCATTTCAATCCAACCAGTTTATCCTAGAGGTCTGGCTGGAGTCAGGCAGACCCGAGTTGCAAAACCACTCTGTCAGTATCAGTGTTGTTGGCCAAATTCACTCTCAGAACCTTAGATTCTTCTTTTGTAACATGGGAAAATAATTCCTACCTTGTACAGTTGTTGTAAGTTACAGATAAATGATGTCAAATGTCAAGTACAGTAGGCTTTCAGTGAAAGTTTGTTAATCATAGTAGCATCTTGTATTTTTGTAAATCATTTGACTATGTGCACAGATACTTCCACCTATTAACATGGTGAATCACTTCTTGAATCCCAAATTTCTTTCTTTTTAATGCTTTTTTGTAAATTATGTGATAGTTTACATGGGAGAACAGTAGCTTTACATTCATCCTATCATATATCATTTCATTGCCATGGTTACAATCCCCTCCATGTATCATCAACCAACCAAAGGGTATAACCTGCAAGCCTGCTCCCCAGTCATCAGCACACAGCCCCTCTCCCCCTCTCTGGGTCTAAAGTCCATAGCCACGCCATCTCTCCACATCATCGTCTCTGCCTCCATCTCTGGCGTCAGTGCTTCTCTGGGTAGGGTCCCGCTCTCAGCTCTTCTCCCCTGATGGTCCCAGGGACCTCTGCTCCTAGACTGCAAAGTCAATCACTCCCCTCCTTTTTCTACAAACATCTGCCTTTACATTTCCAACACTGACAATCAGTCCTGATAACAATTATTCACTATTGTATCACAAGAGAGCTATCCGCATCTCCTTTTATCAGCCCCACCCAGACAGATTGGATACTATTCAGTGGAGATTCCACCTGCCTCCACACCCTCTGAATCTAGGTTCCCTCTTGAAAGACTGTAAGCCAGTCACTTCTTGTCTTTGTAGCCCCCCATTTTGGGTAGCCAATGTCCAAGTTGCCCATCCCTGTCTACTCTTTGTATGGAGGGGATGGAAATGATCCTTGCTGTAAAGATTTGTTCCCTCTTTTGAGCTACTGCATCCGTAGGTGTAGGTCAAGTTCATCAAATTGTATCAGATTACTCTTTTTTCCTCTTCTTTATTCTTCTAGTTGAGCTCTGAACATCCAGTCACTGAAGCCAAGTCAAGTGGGTATTATCCGCAAGTGTAGGTGTTCTTATGCATATGCCCTCTCTTACCAGCTGGACACTTCACTCTCCACTCTAGTCCTCTATGGCTATATCACTGACTCTGGGCCCAAGAGTCCCCAGGTCTTGCGACAATGCTGGCCAACCAGGTCTTCACCTGGGTTCACAAGAGTTTATTGAACATTGTAGGGCTTATCTCACCGCTTCATTTCTGTTTTCCCCTCACTTCCCCTTATCGGTGATGAGCATGGTCACCAATCAGAGTGTGTATTCCCATTAAGTCTTAGTCTTGGAAGGGGGTTTGCACTGAGGGGACCCGACCACTTACCTTGATGTCTCCTGGGCAAGCAACTTGCTTGTTCAGTCGGTCTGCCTATATTGTTTTGTATTTTTCCTGTAGGTGTTTATTTTCCCTGAATTTTAAGAAACTTTTTTATTGTGAATTGAGTGAAGGTTTAGAGAGCAGACTCTCAATTTTACATTAAAAAAATCATATTCTTGGTTTCATCTCAGTGATTGCAGTCCCTCAACGCAACACCATTTATCCCACTACCCCCTCTGTTTCCCATGCGCACTCCTCCTTCTTTTCCAATCTTCCTGAACTCTGTCCTTGGGTAAATGCTGCCTTTTTAAAATTTCTACTGGCTGACCATTCTGTGGTATCCGCACCTCACTAGCATTACTATCCCCTTATGGACCTATCTGTTGTTCGGCTGAAACCTGAGCCACAGTTAAAGAGTGGGATTTCTTCTATCAGGGTTTCACCAGTTGAAAATGTGAGCATATATTGTGGATTTTCATGAAGCAGGAATGTAAGGTCTAAGTCCAGTGTGTGTATCGGGCACCATGGCTTATGATATGGTCTCTTGCATAGACACTGCTTTGTTACAACAGAATCCCAGGGTTGAAGGGTATCTTAGCAATCACTGGTCTAGCACTTTCCTTTTAGAGATAGGGAAGGGGAAATGATTTGCCCAAGATCAGTTAATGAGTTGTTCCTATAAACCATTTCTGACCTCCGTGTTGCCCCTTTTGTGGCATATAAAGGGTCTTTTATGAGACTTTTCTGAAGAAACATAAAACCAGGGTAGAAGACTACTTCCAACCCAATCCCTCATTTGTTTTCAAGGAAGGGTTTGAGTATGGTGAAGTAGCAGGCCATTCAGATATTTGAGGGACAAATGGATTAGAATGAGGGAATAACAATTTGAGAGAGTAAGTACTGGGTACTTTAATCCTCAGGGACCCAGTCTCATCACTTGAACCATTCTGTTTCCTATCTTTTCACCAGCTGGCCTTTGTGGGATTTAGTAGGGGTTTATATTTACTCCACAATAAACATACTAGACAATAAGAAGGAATAGCAGTTGAATACAACAAAATAAGAGGGCAAGTGTAGGTACCAGGAAGCTAGATTCTAGCTGCAATATTACTGTTTAGATATGATTTGGAGCAAGTCACTCAACCATGCTGGGCCTCAGTTTTCTCATCTATGAAGTGAGGGATCTGGCATAAATAATTCTCTAAGGTCCCCTCCAGCTTTATTTTATAATGCCTTGAACTATAAATAACTTCAAGTTTAAAAGTAAAACTTGACTTTGAATCTTTATGAATCTTGAAAATGCAGATTGTTCCAGAAGACTGTAAAATCAGAACACCAGTTGGAGGCTGCAAACCTTCCAGCCACCAGCCCTGTACCATCCCCAAGGAAAGAGCTTAAGTACCTGTGGTGGTGGTGGTGAGGTGCCATTGAGTCATCTCAACTCCAATGACCCCATTTGTCAGGGCAGAACTGCCCCTGGGGTTTTTTAAATTATAACCTTTATGTGACTCACCAGGTCTTTTTCCTACAGAGCCTCTGGGTATGTTCAAACTGCCAACCTTTCGGTTAGTAGCCAAGCAGTGGCTCATCATGCTAGAGGGGAATTGGCCAGAGATAGAAGTGCTGGTGGGACCCAGGACTCCCATCAGTCTTGGCCTTGTGCAAATCTGAGACCACTGAGAAGCAGGTGTGACTACACAGTCACACTGTGCACATAGGGTTTGTGGGTCAGTAGCTACCAGGAAAGGAAGCACTGATAATAAAGCTTGTTTGTATATAAAAACTTAGACCAAGGGGGCATCCAAACGTTCATGGAAAAATGGAATTAAAAATTAATGGAATTTTTATACTAACTTTTGGAAGTCCCCTCATATAGCTTTCCAACCATCCATGATTTCATTCCATTAATACAGCAATCCTGTGAAAGAAATGATCCTTGTAACAACTTTGTTTTACAGCAAAGGTTCAGAGAGGTAAAGTGTTATTACTCATTTGTTGTTGTTGTTAGTGCCTTTGAGTTGGATCAGACTCATAGCGATCCTGAATAGGGTTTCCTAGGAGCCGCTGGCAGGTTTGAACCAGCGATCTTGGAGTTAACAGTCTATGTTGTTGTTAAGTGCTGTGGAGTCAGCTCTGACTCATAGCAACCCTGCATAGGGTTTCCAAAGCCATAAATCTTGTGGGAACAGACAGATTCATCTTTCTCCCATGGAGCAGCTGGAGGCCTTAAACCACTAACCTTGTGGTTCACAGGCCAGTGCTCATACTACCGCGCCACACCCAGGTAAGTAATGGTGAAGCTGGACCTAGAACCCACACCTTCCTGCAGATGTTTCAGCTGCAACACACTTCAGGGTCAAAACATTGAAATGCAGGTGCCCAAGCCCTGCCCCAGAGCTACTGAGTTGGAATCTTCAGGAGTGAGGCCGTGTGAGCAGCAGCTCCTTGTTCAGTACTGGAATGTGTGTAGACCGAGACAGGAAACATGAAGAGAAATGAAATCTTAAATAGAAATGCAGAAAATGTCCAGGTCTGATTTCTTCTGCTGTCTTTTAGTCAGTTCCCTCAATAGAGCATCTGTGCAGTATTCTAACCTGAGTATTTCCGTATTCTAAGGGAGTGGCTGAAGGAAAAGAGCTGTTTGAGATCTGAATTTCTTTGTCATGGTTACTAGAATGTTCTTGAGAGTGGATGGACACTACGTTTGTTATGTTGGTTATGCTTGCTACCATATTCTTGTTTCCATATTTATTTTAAGACTGAAAAATTCCAGGGAGGGGGCAGATGCTATGTAAGATCATATGATAATTCAATAGCCAATTCTGCTCAGTACCTGAGGGTATAAATACATTGCTACTGACCTCAGCTACCCACATTGAGGCAAGGGTAATAATTATCTACATTTTATGTACCTACCTGGGCCACATGTGTTCCATCAAGCCTGTTCCAACTTAAAGTGACCCTGTGTATTTCCAAGTTTCCAAGGAGTGACTGATGGATTTTAATTACCAACCTTGCTTTAGTAGTCCAGTGCTTATCCTACAGTGCCACACCAGGACTCCAGTATCTTGTTTATTGTTAAGTGCCATTGAATCAGTTCTGACTTATAGCAATCCTGTGTAGAGTTTCTGAGGAGTGACTGGTGGGTTTGTGTTTACCATTCCAGTGCTTATACTGTAGTGCAACACCACGACTCCGTATTTTGCTAATATGATCTTAATTCATCCTTATAGCAACTCTGTGAGGTAGGGATTAGGATAAGAGGAAATGTAAACTGTAGGTTATAAAACCTATCTTACAGGTTTTGTAATGATTAGTGTCTTGACTTTACCCAACACTGAACTTTGGTTAAGGACCCCAGAGACCCTCTTGTATTCATCCTCATTCTGAGGGTGGGGCTGGTGAAGAGGCTGCAGAACTAGCACAGGGTCATGCACATCAGCTTCAGAGCACGTTAACGTCAGCTAGAACCCTATTTCTCACACAGTAGGAAAGTTGCTAACTGAGCCTCGGTTTCCTCATCTGTATGTTGGGAAGAGTCTTGTGAAAGTAAGCATAAGTGCGCTATATTATTAGCTGCTGCTTCATGTGCTGTGGTCGCCATTAGTGCCATGGGCCACAGTAGCCTGTTCTTGAAGGGGGAACACAGAAGACAGAACTGAGATTACCACTAACCCGCTGCCCCCTCCATTCCAGCAATTCCCCTTCTGTCTGATGTCAGTGAATATCACCCGCATCGCAATCCAGGCCTTAAGGGAGGACTGTCTCACCCGGTGAGTCCCCACACTGCTCACCAGCTAATCCAGCCAGCTGACTAGAGTGGTCCAACACAGCCTCACTCTCCCCAACTCTCTCTCTCACCTGCTGGTTCCTGGAGGGCCTGGACAAAGTGCAACTGCACCTTTCTTTCCGCCATCTCTCTTTCCCAGCCCTGACCTCAGAGGTGAAGGCTGCCAGGAACTGGCGGGTATTCTATATCTATGCTAGCTTGGAATCCAGGTGAGAGGACACCAGGCATCAGCTTGGTCCATTCATGGGCAAATCATCTCCCTTGTCCTGTAGGGAATGTAATCGGCAGCAAAAGGTTATCCCGGTAGTGAACAGCTTCTATGCGGCCACCTTCCTCCGCCTCGCCCATGTCTGGAGGACACAGCAGAAAACCATCTCAGACTCAGGCTTTGTCCTCAAAGGTATATCCCTCTTCTCAGGGCGGCCCGGGCGCCTGAACTTCTGTTGTACCCAGCTTCTAGGCCCAGGACTGGTTGCTAGCATGGCTTGACTGCAGTTCCCTTCCTACAGCCTCCATCTATGCTTCCTCGAATCCCAGCTTCACTGTCCTTATCTCTCTGCCACCACTCTCCTCCCTTTGTGGTCTTACACCAATGATGATCACAGTTTCTGCATCAAAAGTTGCAAGTCAGGCCTAACAGTTAGACTAACTGTTCAAAATTGAACTTGTCTTGGACAAGGCAGAATGGCTGGGGTGGTCCCTGGGTCTCTCGATCTGGGCATCTCCCCATCTCAGAAGACACCCCTTTCCCTCCATAGCATCTGGGTTGGAGGTGCTCCCCAGAACTGCTAGTCTTGAAACCAGGAGTGTTGTACAATATAAAGCCCCCTTATGCCTTTTGTTCCCCAATCCTCTCTGTTCCAGACTTGGAAGTGTTGGCCAAGAAGAGCCCAAGGCGACTACTCAAGACCCTGGAGATCTACTTGGATAGGGTGTCGAAGGGACAGGCCTCCTTTTGGGGAGCACCAAAGTGCTATGGGCCCCAAGCCCCTCACTCCAAGGAGCTCACCTTCACAGGTGTATGTGACCTGCCATTGCATGCAACCGAAGGCACAAGGCCCATCTGACCAACTCCAGAGGCTGACTGAGGGAAAGACTTAAAGGCCGGACCTGGGGTCTTCAGAGGGCCCACAGCAGGCTGTTTCAGGGCCAAGCCCTAGTGTCTCAGTAGGGCATATAGGAATATAGGAAGTAGGGTTTGACCTACTCCATGCAGACCTGTCTCCAGAGCAAGGAAAGTTTTACCTTAAACTTAATCCTAATTGGGGCTATGCAGCTTATCTCAGTGAGAATGTGATAGGAAAACCCCATCTGGATGTTCCATGTGTCCCCATGTTGAAAGTTAGCCTCAGTAGAGAAAAACAGATTTCTGGTTCACTAAGCAGTGGGTCTTTCTGGCCCTGAATCTCTAAGCCTGGATTCTGTAGTTAGAACAGAAGAGAGACGCTAGCAGGGGCAGCAGCCAGCAGGGGGCAGTCTGAACCAGAGCAAGCTGCCAGAGACCTCAGCCGGCCAGGCTTTGCTCACCTCCATCCATCTGGCCAGTCTCAGGGTCCCCTCTGGAGTTTCTGCCCCCATTGTTGATGATGTGGAAACAGGCATTCAACTAGGTAGGTCCCGTCGCTGCTTTCATCCTACTGGCTCTCAAACTAGGGCTTCCTCAGCCGGGGAGGTTGTTCAGGCCACATCAAGGGTGGTTTTCTGGCCTTGAAGGAAGGAGAGATTCATATACCAGTAGTTCTCAAATAAAGGAAGTTCTGGTTTAAGTGTTGCAGTATCTTCTTCTGAGATAGGCCTTGGTACCTTTCTGTAGCCCTTTTGTTCCAGGTTTGGTTAGCACTAGACACTCGAGCAGGTGAACGCACAGGACAGGGGAGAGAGTTATCTGACACTGGTCAGAGACTCCTGGAAGGAGCAGGTTGTCTCTTGATGGCTAAACTACCCCTGAGTCCATATGATGTCCTTGGTGATGAACTTGTATAACGCCTCAGAAGCTCCTGGCATGCTCTCACCAGTGGAACAGGCGCTTCTGGCTCTGGTTAAGATGGACTGACATGAGGCATCCACGTGGGGTTTTCCCTACATTTCCTTCTGGAGAAGCCTGACTCTGTTGCTCCATTTCCAAAAGGGCCTCCAGGCCAAAGTAACCTCAATTGGCAGTGGTGGGGGTTGGGGGGAGGCAGAGCCCCACTGGTTCTGCCTACGCCTGGCCTTTGCTATCTTTCAGTTACCAGGCCTTGGGCCATGAGGAAGTTTCCATTCCCTACACTCTGGGCTCTACTTTCAGGGCACCACTGGGCAGATGCAACCAACCCTTGGGTGGTCTCTTGAGCAAGGGGAGTTAACCAATGCTAGGCTGATTTCCTGTCCTTTGTTCTCCCTTAAGTAGAGCCTTGGGAGACCACTGTCTAGGCCCTGCAAGCCTCTCCAAGACCCACTGGAGTTGGAGGAGCCCATCACAGAGACCAGGAAACTCAACAGACCCAACTCTGGGCACATGCTTGGAGGTCCTCTCAGTCCCTGGGAACCTCGTGCAGGAGAGGAAGCCAGTGCCTGTCACAGGACACCTTCTCCAGGCTTCACTCACTGTGTAATGGTCTCCATACAACAGTGGGCTTACAGTTTCATCTGAGTGGGCTCCAAAAAGTTGTGGAAAACTCCTATGATCTTTCCATTCCATTTTTCCCCATGAACTTTTTGAAGCCCCCTGGTACAATAATAATAATCTTTGTCTTTTGATGGGGCTCTTTTGATGGACTGGTTGTGGGAGAGAGTTGTGTGAGCCCCCCAAAAGCAGCTGCAGAAGTCTTACTCTGCATTTTTCTTAGGAAAGGACCTGTATTGTACAACCCTGAAAATTATGTCAGAACCAATGATTTAGTTCAACCTTTGCTTTCTGCCTTTTTAAAAATCATCCATGGTATATATTGCTCTTTGCATAGACCGTTGAAGGGAGGGCCCGGATGCTTCTGTGCTGAGGGAGGGGCGAGCAGGGCAGGTGAGCTGCTGCTTCTGTTTCTTGGAACAAACACAACAAAATGAACTTGGTTTTGTTTGCATGAAGAGAATCAGAAGGTCTTAGGACCCAGGGTTGGGCATGTCAGAGGTGAGAGTGGCAGCTAAAGCCAGGCTTCAGTGATTCTCTAAGCCTTATACAGACTCATGTCTTAGTCTTGCCCCCTGAGCCACTGTTCTTCAGGATGGGGCCTCTTCTTGGCTACTCCATTCTCACCCCTATTTAGTCTGTTGTCTTTGAGGCAGGCATGTTTTAAGAGTTCTCTTTGAGAAGAGCTAACGCATTCTGGATGCTCACCAAAAGATAATGGAGGTTTGAATCCACCTAGAGGTACCTCAGAAAAAAGGCCTTTTATTTTTTAAATTTTTAAACCAGCCATTGAAAACGCTATGGAGCATAGTTCTACTCTGACACAGGCGAGGCTACCATGAGCTGGAGTCAACTCTAAGGCAACAGGCAACTGGAATTTGAAAAAAAAAATTCTTGTTAATATTCCAACCTCCACCTGATTATGCAAGAGAATGAACTGAGGCTCAGACAAGGAAAAGAACCTTATTCAAGATTAGAGGCAGGGTGAGGACCAGAAAGAACTCAGGGTTCCTGACTCCCAGGCCAATGCTCTTCACACACACAGTCCCACGGAACTCCTGGGCTCCTTGCCCAACAACAAGTATACCAGGAAGTGGCCGCACCAGAATTCTGTACAGTAGGGGCAGCTGCCCTTGGAGAGCTTGGAAAGCTTGGGGCTTTTGGGTGTCTCAGGAAATACTGACTTAAATGGATATGCATCCCAAGCCTGTCACCACAAGAGTCTCCCGAATGAGAATGTGATACAAGCAAACCCCTGGGTCAAAGTGATCCTAGGGCCATGCCACCTCCCTCATGCAGTGCCTGCCTGGCAATCCAGGCCCCTCTGCCTCAGTCACGCAAAGCGAGGTCTGGCCCCAGAGGAGGCCCAGGTCCCCTGGGAAGCTGTGGAGCTGTTACCAGTGTGCAACTCTGTCCCCAGCACAGCCAGGAGCTGAGTAAACAGGTAGGGACTGTGAAACTAACCCAGGCCGTGCAACACAGATGGTTTGCACTCACCTACTAGACTAAGGATCCTTGGTGGCACTATGGGTTAGGATTTGGGCTACTAACCACCAAGTCAGCAGTTCAAACCTACCAGCCACTCTGTGGGAGAAAGATCAGATTTACAGTCTCAGAAGCCCTCCACAGAATCTCTATGAGTTGGAATCAACCCAGTGGCAGTGGGTTTGGTTTGGGTTTTTATTAACTTACAGGTTGACAGGTCCAACCCACTCAGTGGTAGCCAAAAAAAAAAAAAAAAGACCTGGTAATCCGTATCTGTTAATCTCATGCCAAGAAAACCCAATGGAGCGACTGCACCTGCAGCACATGGGCCACCATGAATCAGGGTCAGCTTGATGAAAGTGGGTTTGGTGTAGTAAGGTATCGTGTGGTGTGGTGGTATGGCATGGTACGGCACAGTATAGGAAAGCCAAATATGGTATGGTTAAGAGTGGTGTGGTGTGGTATTATGTAGTGCACCATATGGTGGTCTGGTGTATGCTTTAGTATGGTATGGTGAAGTGAGGTATGTGTGGTAAGTAAGGTGTGATGTGATATGGTATGTATAATATAGTAAATGTATGGTGAGGTGAGGTGTGGTATGGTGATGTTCAATATGGTGTAGTGCAGGTATGATGTATGGTGAGGTATGGTAAGGTGTGTAGTATGGTGTGGTGTAGTATGGTGAGGTATGCTATGGTGTAGTGTGGTGTGTGATGTTGTATGGTGAGGTATGGTAAGGTGTGTGGTATGGTGTGATATAGTGTGGTATGGTGTGTGGTATGGTGTGAAATATGGTATGATATGGTATGGTAAGGCAGGCTATGGTGAAGTATGGTAAGGTGTGGTATGCTATGGTATAATGAAATATGATATAGGGTGTGGTACAGTGTGGTGTGTGGTATGAGGTTCAGGCAGAGATCAGGGAAAGCATTTGCTTCCTTTATTGAACATCAGCACTGACCATGTGTCAGAGGGAAAGCAAGCAGGTCAGAGGTACCCAGGAAGGAGAGCTGTGGTCTGAGAGACATGGGCCCTCATTTCCAGTCCTTGAAGAATTGCTTGAAGATGGGACTCTCACGGCCTTGGGGCAGAATCTCCACCTGCAGGGATAGCAGGAAAGAGGTTTGGCTTACAAGGTGGCCCCCTCTGCCTCCACCAAGAAGGACAGGGAGGGTGGAGTCCTGCAGGAGGTTGTTGGACACTCGGCCTGAGTCCACATGCAGTCTGGACCAGCGCCACTCTTCCACATAAGCCAAGAAACAGGAAAACAGATTATAGGGACGGGGCTAAAACAACAGATAAGGTGCACAGTCTGAAAGGTACACCAATTATAGATGAGTTTTTGCAGGATTTCTGGGAATGGCTTAGTTCCACCATGCTGGAGTTAGAGAGGTGGATCCAGCTAAGGACAATGACCCAGATAAGGAATATAGCTATCCACAGGTACACCAAGCTCTCTGGGTTCCCAGGGGGCTGCTCTCTAACATCCTCTTAGGAAATAACACATATTTGAAGGATTGAGACGGGCTTTCTATTGGATGGGTCTGAGAGAGAGGCTGGATTGTTCCTGACTATGTCCAAGGCTGTCCTACCCTTCGTGTCTAATTTAGAGGAGAGGGGGAAAGTGTAGGGGTGTTCCTCACCTGAGTGTTGGGGGCGTACTTCATACGGGAGATGAAGCCCTCAGCCACTTGGAGGGCTGCCTGCCGCTCCTTATCGTTAGCTTTTCGTCCTGGAGCACAGGAAAGAGATTTTGAAAAAGAATAAGGATTCGTTCTAGCTCCCTGCTCAAAACTTTCTCAGGGAAATTTAAAGGGACAAAGGGGATAGCTGGCAACTTTTAAACGCTGAACCAATTTTTTAAAAGTTAAATGGACAAGGCGTGCCCAAGAAGACTGGAGTTCTGTGTAGGTGTGCTGTCAGCCTCTGACACTTCTTCCAACTTGGCAGCTCCAAGCTGGATGAAACTGGCCTTCTCGCCTTTCTCCTCATTGAATCACCAAAGCTTTAGCTCCAGCCAGTGCTCCAGGGATACTTCAGGCAGAAGCACAGGTATTCTTCCTGACAGCAAATTCTAAGGCCAGCGATTCCCCTGGAAGGACTCCTTGATTCTTGTGTCTGTCAACTATACTCTTATCAAGCCTTTTTTGTAAAGTGAAATAGGACCAGGGGTACGATTTCTGATGCAGATGAACTTATCGCATTGTGCCAGGAAGTCTACACAGACCTAACATACTAACTGAAAGCTTATACAAACTATATCCACAGAGTATTCCATTCGTTTCTATAGCCCGGCTCGTTTGCACGACGTCTGCTCTAATTTAAGGTATTTTCCTTCCCCTATGAAAACAAAGTTGTGAATTTAGTTGGCTCTCTAGCCAGGGTATTGAAAACAATCTGATAACTATAACTTATCTGAGACTAATATGCTGTACCCTTCCTCTTTGAATTGACTGGCTATACCCCTGCCCAGGAAAGATGTCCCTTCCTGGCCACCCAAGTTTCCCAGCTCTCCTCTTGTTTCTCTTTCCATAATGGGTTGTCTTTGTGTGGGATTAATAGTTTCCAGGGCAGGTGTGGCATTGGTTCCTTGGGAAATGTACCCTGTCCTGTGACCCGGAAGGAATGTCACCTCAGTAGCACAATTCTCTTAGAATCCTGGCTGCTCCTTGCTGCTCTAGGCCCTTCCCTTTGGCCTATCTTTCTACTGTCAAGGTTGGTGGTTCGAACTCACCAGTTGCTCTGTGGGAGAAAGATGAAGCTTTCTGCTCCCACAAAAGATTAAAAAACCTTGGAAGCCCTATATATGGGGCAGCTCTGAGTTGAAACCAACTTCACAGCACTTAACAACAGCAACAATGATAACTAGAGCCCTGGTAAGTAGGATAAGCTGTGGACTGGCACTGGCAAAGTCAGCAGTTCAAACCCACCAGCCGCTCTTGGAAAGCCTATATAAGTTGCTATACGTTAGAATCAACTTGAGGGCACTTAACAACAGTACTTAAGGAACTCTGGTTGCTAACTGAAAGGTTGGTGGTTCGAACTCACCCAACTGCTCCACAGGAGAAAGGCTTGGTGATCTGCTCTCGTAAAGATCACAGCCTTGAAAACCCTCAGGGGAAGCTCTCCTCTGGCCCGTGGGGTTGCTAGGAGTTGTGATCTATTCAACAGTCCCCAACAATAACAGCAACAGTGTTATTTGCCTGGCAGCAGCTACTGTTAAAAGCACCAAACTCTCTCCATCTTTCTGACCGGGTTGGGGATTTCCGTCTTTTCTTGGCCTCAGTTGACCCCACAGATATTTATTGAACAAATACTATTTGTCGAGATCCTGGAGCCACTGTGGTTCTTGCTTTCAAGCCTTTAGAATCTGTGCAGGGACGTGAGACAGGCTCAAGAAAAGACATACGTAGGGAAGTAACGGGAGCTCCAAGTATCGTTCAGGACTCAGCTTTGTGACCACATTTTCCAACAGTCAAACAAGATGAACCGGATCTGTACAACAGTTCTCCTTTTTCTAGCTGATATTATCTCTTGGAAGAACAAGTTATACTGGCTCACTATCTACTGCATAAACGAATGTCTCATTTACCTAAAATTTACCTCTAGTACACCTCAAGGCTGAATCCTAGCTTCAGGGGTTTCCAGAAGCCCCAACGACTTAAACATTCTCCAAAATGGTGGATCTCAAACTGTGGTCCCTGGACCAACAGCGTCAACATCACCTGGACCTTCTTAGCAATGCAAAATCTCTGTCTCCTTACCCCCCACCAGACCTAGTGAACCAGAACCTCTGGGGGTGGGGATTTTAACAGGCCTTTGGGTCAGTGATTCTGATTCATGCTGAAATTTCAGAAGCACTGCCTAGGACTTAGAGGGTGGGAACAGCAAAGGAAAAGCCCTTGGCCAGAAGCTCCCGGACTCTCTGGAAAGCAGGCCAGCAGACAGCACTCCCACGGGAAGCTGACTGAGTCACACCTGTGGAAGGGGTCTTAGGCCATACCACACGTACCCTTCCAGATGTAGATCTTGCCACAAAGCCCATTGTCCAGCACGAAGCAGTCATCAGCTATGAGCAGCTCGAGTGGAAAGGGACTAGAGTCGGCCACCTTAGTCAGATTCATCTGTCCAGTGGCATCAGACACCTGGGGGAAAAAGGACAGTGGCAGATCCTCCCCTCCTCCCCCGAGAAGCAGACCACCTCATCCCTCCTCAAGGCCCTCCCTCTCTGCCTGTCTCCCACTGTCTCTACTACCCACCACCCCAGACCCTGAGAGGGACAGGGAAGAATGCAATGAGGCAGCCCCCACCCCTTTAAGCTCCCCCAAACCAACCCACTACCACTGAGTTGATGCTGACTTATAGGACAGAGTAGACTGCCCCCCACAGTTTCCAAGGCTGTCAGTCTGTCTCCTGAGGTACAGCTGGTGGGCTCGAACCACCAACCTTTCAGTTAGTAGCCCAGCACTTAACCCACACTGTCAACTAGGGCTCCTCCCATCCTCTTATATCATCCTAAATCACTGCAACACAGTGACCAAAATCCATTTTGGAATTGGGTACATTTCAAACTACAAATTCAAACAATGGCAAAAAAAGTAAACCATATAATTGGCTTGCAACCTCCCTCCTCCAAGAATGAGCCAGAAGTGAAGTGGCATTCTTTTACTGGGGAGGGCCTGACAGCGTCCTCTTCCCATACCCACCCCTGTCACTTCCAGCCCTCCATCAACCTCCCTGGGCCTCATTCACTCTTCCCACTGTGTTTGTCCCTCACGCTAACCCCATATGCACCCCAACTGCTCTGTGTGGGCTCCCACCTTATAGAGAGCTGCGGCCTGGGCGTTTGCTTGGTCAGCTGTGAGGTCTTCCTCAGGGTTTCCCTCCTTCAGAGGGGGCTTGGAGCCCAAGACCTGCAGAGGCAGGGGTGGACAAGTTTACAGGGACTCCTGGGCACCTGCCTCAGACCTAAACCCACCATGCCCGGGGCTACCACCTCTGCTGGGACAAACTGTCCTGTGCAAGGGCACCAGCAGAATCCAGCCCACCACACCAGCCAGGCCACTCAGAATGACACAAAGACACCATGTGAAGCAGCCACAGTCCTTGTTAGTACCCCAGACCCTTCCCCACCACCCTCCACCAGCGACCCCCATGACCCCCAGCTAATTAGCACCCCTCTTGGCCATTTCTAAGCAGAGGTACCCAGCTGCCCACCTGGATCATCTCAGCAGGCTCCTCCCCATCAGTGACGATTTCCACCTGGGCCTTGCCCTGCCGCTCACTGTCTCGTATGGCCAGTGCCAGGTCCCGGGCCTTGTTACGCTCCAGGATGTTGGACTTTCCACCACACCAGGTGAGGATGGTCTAAAGGGAAGCAGGGAGACTGAGTTAAAGCCAACTACCTGTGTCCTGCAGCCCGTGACAGTGTGTGGGAGACAGCTCAAGGAAAGGTCTTTATTTCTCTCTCCCTCCTCTTGGAAGAGCTGTCCACTGAGGCAGGATGATCAAGAAGGCAGCAGGAAACCCAGAGGCCTCTCTGAGAATGGCAGTAACACCACTCTCTTCTCATGACTTTGCCCAAAACCCATCTCCTCTCCTGTTTCCTCTCCATCACTTAGTGCCATATATTTTACTTTGTTATTCTATTTGAGGAGTCCTGGTGTGGCACTGTGAGTTAATGCACTGGACTGCAATGTCGGTTTGAACCTTAAGCTCACCTGCTGCTCCTCAGAAACCCTATATAGGGTCACTATGCCAACTTGATGGTACTTAGAAATAATATCCTCTTTGAAATCTGTCTCCCCTGACTAGAAAGTAAACTTCACAGGGCATGAAGTTTTTGTTTTATTTTATTCACTGCTATATACCAACTGTCAAGGTAGAGCCGGGCTCCAATATGTTGTTGTTGTTGTTATGAGCCGTGGAGTTGATTCTGACTCATAGCGACCCTGTACAGGGTTTCCGAGGCTGGGCTCCAATATAGACACAAGCAAACCTTTATTGAAGAATGAATGGATAAAGGCCATCCTTGAACTCCAATCTCATCCCTTTTCACACCCACTTCCAAGCAAAATGCCTCAAGTCTTCTGCGCCATTTATTACAAGATCTGTTTGTTGCCTCCATCTCAAAGCTTATCTGCCTTATAAACAAGTCCTGCAGTGATCTTGTCCAAGAGTCTTCAGCACCACAAGCTGCAGTGTGAACTCTCAGATAAATATTCAATCTCCTCAAGACCCAGGACTCACCTTCATTTCACAGTTTTCTTCCTCATGGTTCCTATTCCCACCCTGGGTCCCAGTCAAACTAGACCCTTCTCTGCTATCTCCTTCCTTTCCCACCTCTGCTTCCACTCCCCTTGTCCCTTTGCTGGGAATGGCATTCCCCCTCCATGAATCTCTAGTCAAAGGACCCCTTTCTGGGACTACTGGCTTCGATTCAGACTTGATGGTCCTTATCTCCAGCTCCCCCAGACATGGACGCTGCCTCCTCGTCACATCCTGTCAAGGGTGCTGAGTGATAACAGATAGATCTTCACCCCAGGTGAAGCTTCTCAGGGACAGGGACTTTACTGACCAGCACTGTGGTCCCCATGCTTGCTCAGAAAGGGTATCACAGATCTACTGAGTGAGTAAACTAATGAGTAGTCTGCCAGGAAACTAAGTTCTGAGTTGTAAGTTTTCAGGAAGAATGATGACGTGGCGAGATGGAGCAGCTGGGAACTCTAGACCCAGAGAGGGAGACGGGCTGTATGTTGATGACTTGGGGGCAGGCTTGCAGGGTGTACCCTTTGGTTGGTTGATAATGCATGGAGGGGATTGTAACCATGGCAATAAAACGATATACGATAGGATGAATGTAAAGCTAATGTTCTCCCATGTGAACTATCACATAATTCACAATAAAACTTAAAAAAAAAAAAAGTTGTCTGGAATAGAAGGAGTAAGCTCCAGCGTTATAGGCAATGGCAAGAAATCAGAGGGAAGCTGAATTCTGCCCCAAAATAAAGGGATGCTTTCTAACAGCTGAAATGGTCCAACTTGGCACGGGCTTAGAGCTTCTCAGCTTCCCTCCCTCTCTCTTTGCTTTCTAGTCCCCTCCTTTTAATAAGCAAGCAAAATAAACCAAACCCACTGCCACTGAGTTGATTCCGACCCATAGTAACCCACTATAGGACTTCCAAGCTTTACAAGAGCAGAAAGCCTCATCTTTCTCCTACACAGTGACTGGTGAGTTTGAATAACCAACCATGTGGTTAGCAGTCCAGCGCTTATCTCACAGCGCCACCAAGGCTCCTTTAAAAGGATGATCCTAAGACAGAGTCCTGGTGTGGTGCTGTGGGTTAATGCGCTGCACTGCAAAGGAGCTTTGAACCACAAGGCTCCAGCTTACCAGCTGCTCCTCGGAAACCCTATTACAGGGTTGCTATGGGTTGGAACTGACTCGATAGCACTTAACAACAAAACAAGACAGAGTGCTCAGTCTAGTTCTGCTGACCCACCTGGCCCAAGTCCAGGATGAAGCAGTCCCCAGTGTTGAAGCTGTCCCAGCTAAGTGCCCGCTCTGTGGCGCGAATGTTCTTCTTCCCTTTCACCTGGTAGAGTTTCTTGATGGCAGCTGGGGTGGTCCCTGGGGAGGTCTTGTGAAATGCTGACTCCACGCCACCTTCCTGCAACCCAGACAGCTGGCCTGAGTGGGCTGATTGGAGATCTGGAGCCCCCATCCCATCGGGAGACAGACAGAGAAGTGGGGGCCCAGCCCTAAGTGTGCTCAGGCCTTCTGCAGGATGAGAACCAGAGGGAAGAGGGGCTGACTCTAAGGGGAGCCAGAGGCTGGGGTGCTGGGAGGTGGGCACTGACCCGGTACTTGAGGCCATGCGGGAAGTAGCTCATGAAGAGGTCAGACTCATTGCCCTGTACTTCACGGTGCTGCACAGGTCGCTCCCCGAGCAGGGTGTTGAGGTGCACAGCCAGCACTGCACAAGCCCCCTGCTCATCCCGGGATGACTGCTGGCCTGGGACAGGTGAGAGGCAGCAAGGAAAGGCCCATGAGACCCATGCTAGCTCCAGCCCCTGCCTGAGCCAGGCCTTCCACCATCCCAGCTCCTTTACCTATCCACAGGTGCAGGTGAGAAAGCTCTTCTGGGCCATTGTGCAGCACCAGGTAAGAGTCTCCTGAGAAGAAGATACCCCGGTTGTCAGGTGCTACGGGCACTGGCTTCAGCTTCTCTACCCGCCAGATATGCAGGCCAGGATTCTGCACGGAGGCTGAGAACGGGGAACTGCTGCAGGAGGAGAAAGAGTGGGCAGTGGACAGGGCCCAAGAGGAGCAGGTCTAAGCCTAGAGACTCAGGCAGGGGACTCTGGGGCCTGGGTGTGAGGAGAGCAGTGGGGGGTGGAGGAAGATGGCACTGGCACATAGCTTACCTCTGGGGGATGGGTGTGTACATGATGTTTCTGGATCTGGAAAGACAGAGGAAGCCATATTTATTACAAATGTCTCAACAACCACCCTATGCATTGGTCTGAGAAGGCCCTGCAGGTGGGTGGCTAAGTGCTTTCATATTCGTCAATTATCTCATCTCCAGGGGCTAGAGGAGATTATCTCTGGCTTCATTATGCAGGCAAAGAAAGCCAGGCTCAGAGGTCTAAATCTAAGAGGGTCAGAGGATTAAATCTAAGTAAGTGGCTTGCTGAATCCAGGCCTCTAACCCCTGGGCTGTGACCTTTCAGCCTTGCTCCCCTAGTGCCTCAAGATCCCTAACTCTCCATGCTAAAACACTTATATTAAAAAGTTTAAAATCACTTATTTAAGCTTCTGCCATAAAAAGAAAAAAAAAAAAAACAAAAAAAAACTAGAAAAGTTCAAGCAAATTAAATCCAAAGCAATCAGAAGAAAAATAAAATAAGAGCAAAAGTTAATAAAATAGAACCAGAAAAAAACAGTAGAGAAAAATCAATGAAGATTTTTTTTTTTAGATGTTCCATAAAACTGATAATATATGTATATATGTTGTTGGGTACCATCAAGTCGGTTCCAGCTCCTAGCAGCCTCATGTGACACAGCAGAACTGCCCCAACAGGGTTTTTCTAGTTTAGTAATGTTCACAGAAGCAGACCTCCAGGGCTTCCACAGCATGGCTTGAACCTCCAGTCTTTCAGGTTAGCAACTGAGTGCCTTACCACTGCGCCACCAGAGCTCCTGTAACAGACTGAAACCTAGAAAAACCCTATGCGGCCATTTTACTGTCACATGGGTTCACTATGAGTGAAGATCAACTGACGACTCCCAATTTTTGTTGCTGTTAAGTGCCATCAAGCCAGCAACCCTGTATGGGGTTTCCAAGGAGCAGCTGATGAGCTTGAACCTCCAACCTTGCCGTTCAAACTGACTTTGCAGTTCAGCTCATTAATCCACAGCGCCACACCCAGACTCCAATAGCAGGAAACAAAGGAGAGAGCTCACGGCAAAATATCATGTGAATGACTTTCCTTTTCCATTCCCAACCTACTCAACAGTGGAAGGCATTTTTTTTTGGCACCACATTTGGGAGCAAGAAGGAAAATAGTGAGGGGGAGGGTTGTTCCTCTATCCCACAGGGCGTCACATGCTATGCCCACATCCCCTGCAGCCAGCAGCCCAGCCTGTGACTCAGATCTGAAGTGGTCACCACAAGCTCAGAGTCAGAGATGGTGTGAACGAGAGAACCTATTTGTCAGCCCTCCTCTCTTTCATTTTGTATAACTGAAATGAGAACTCAGGCCATAACCCAAAGCCAGGTATTTCACACGCCGGGGCTACAGACCAAGCGCCACAGCCATTCTAAGGAAAGGCTATCTGCTCCTTCATCACTCAACTCTCCACTCTGGCTGCCCAGGGACCTTATCAGAAACGTAGGTGCCCAAGCCCCAGCCGGGAAGATCCTACCTTTGCAGGTGTGGAGTGGAGCCTGGCGTGGGTATTTGGAACATATGTTTCAGGTGACTATGAGGTCACCAGTGGATAGTCTCATGCTTTCCTGCACATTAGAATCATCTGGGGGTCTTATAAAAGTCCCAAAGCCCAGGTCACATGGCAGACCAGACTCTGCAGACTGGAGTCTGGGTGGCTGTGCTTGAGAAGTTCCTGCCCCTCTGCCTTCTGTTGCAGCTTCTCCCAGGTAAGGGTCTATCCTGACATCTTGTCTTGCATTCTTTTCTCCCCATTCCAGCTACCCTGTTCAAGATCATAGTTCTCTGAGTTTCCTCAATGCCCACCTCCACTTCATGCAAGCCCCAGCTGTCCAAGGAGATTTTCGGTATGTCAGCCTTCTCTGAGAGGTTCCGCAGTCCTCTCACCTGGAAGCGCACATCAGTCCTGCTCACAGGTTGTCTCACAGTATGAACTTGTCTCAGCTGGGAATCTCATGTCTCAGCTGGGAATCACCTGTACTCAAGCATCCCACAAGAGTCTATTCAATTTCATGCAAGGTCTGTGCTAGGGGCAAGGCGTTGTGTAGGAAGGGGAGCTGGCACAAAAATGAAGAACAGCTGTGTCTTCGTGGTTTCATTAGAGCAGCAGTGAAGCAGGGAGCCATCTCACCCAGTGTGACCTCAGACAAAATTTCCATAGGAGGGGGGTGCCACAGAATCTCAGACTTTAGGAATTGAATGCTCATCAGGTCCCTGGGTGGCACAAACAGTTTGCTTTCAGCTACTACCCCAAAGGTTGTCAGTTCAAACCCACTCAGCTGTGCTATGGAACAAAGCCCTGGCAATCCGCTTCTGTAAAGATAAAAGCCAAGAAAACCCCATGGAACGGAGTTCTGCTCTATCACACATGGGTTCACAATGACTAGGTGGCAGCAGGCTTAGTGGTCATCTGGTCTACTCTGCATCTGCCTCCCAACACATAGCCATACACACAAGACACAGAAATCCCCTAACCATCCCTTGAACACCTTTGTTGGGGGGAATTCACCCCCTCACACGACAACCTCTTCTGTACTTCTGTTAAAACGCTTCATTTTTCTAACTCTGCCACACTGCAGTGAATTATGAACCCACTTATCTACCCTACTAAGGAGCCCTGGTAGCGCAGTGGATTACGAGTTGGGCTGCTAACCACAAAGTCAGCAGTTCGTAATCTACAAGTAGCTATCCAGGGAAAAGATGAGGCTTTCTGCTCCAGTAAAGATTTACAACCTTGGAAACCCTATAAGGGTCACTATAAGTCAGAACTGACTCCACAGTACACAACCACCACCCCCACATTCCTGAAAATAAATCCAGAGTTTATTCTACAGTGTGGACTGCTAACTGCAAGGTCGTGGTTCAAACCCACCAGCTGCTTCTTGAAAACCCTATGCAGGTTTGCTATGGGTCAGAACTGACTTGACAGCACCTAACAACATCTCCCCTACTAGACTTCCAGGGCCCTTTGCACCCAATAGCAGGAAGCTGTATTTTGTCTCTGGATCTAGCTGGAACCTCATACAGGTGTTCAAAGAATGTATTTGATAAACAGGGCTTGTTGGACTCCAGCAACTATTTCAGCAGGTGGGGGTGTGCAGGTGGGATAGGATAGGATTTCAACTGGCTGGAACTGGCAGGAGCAGCCTGAGGCAGAAAGCAGGGGATAGGAATCCAGTCAGTCTGTCCTGGGGCTGGCTGGGGATGGGAGGAGGCAATGCATGCTCTGCTGACTGTCCCAGTGCTCCTCCCTGCCCCACCTAGAAACAAGAACACTCTTGGGGGATGGGGTAGAAAGTGGGGAGGTGCTATGCATACTTTGAGGGCTGCCAGTAAGGAGCTCTGGTAGCGCAGTGGTTACAAACCAGGCTGTGAACCTTAAGGTCAGCAGTTTGAAACTACCAGCTGCTCTGCAGGAGAAAGATGAGGTTTTCTGCTCCCATAAAGATTTACAGCCTCGGAAACCCTATACAGGGTCGCTGGGTTGGAACCAACTCGACGGCACATAACAACAACAAGAACAGAAATACAGAACCCGAGTACCAGTGGTATCTTTGCCCTCCTTTAGGTCTGATTCCAGGGACCCTCAACCAGTCCCTTCACCTCACAGTCTCTGTTTACCCCAAAGTGTGAAATGAAAATGCCTACCCCTCTCCCAAACCAACCAGCTTTGAGCCCATTGGGAGAAAGATGAGGCTTTCAGCTTCCGCAAAGATTTACAGCCTCAGAAACCCTGTAAAGGGTCACTATGAGTTGGAACTGACTCCACAGCACTTAATAACATCAATGTCCTAAGAAGGAGTTGGGTAGGTATCAATGCAAGAATCTACATTAGAAACTACCCCAGAGCCTTCCAACCGGGGGTATGGGCATTCTCAGGGGTCAGTCCAGGTGACAGGTTTGCAGACCCCTCAGCCTGTGTTCTTTCCACTGACGTCAAGTGGGATTCCTACCCTCACAGGCTCCACCTTCACCTACCTCTCCACCACACCCAGGCAGTGACAGTGGCTAGCGGCCCAGAGCCTCAGCGGGAGTCCTCTGAATTGTCAAAACTATCATCTATGCAGTATGCATGAATTCAAATGGCTAGAAACGCCCCACTCCAGCCCCAAACCTCTCCAGCCCAGTGAGTAGCAAGCAGAAGAGTACTTGCAGTTTGGCAAAGGTCTTGACTGCCAGCACAGTGGCCAGGAGACACCATCAGCACACTGTGGTTTGTTTCCAGACCCTAGAGGCCAGCTTTGCGTGCCATCCGAAAGAGTCCCAGCCAGCCCCCTCCCCGGGGCCACTGTTCCCCCTCAGCCACACTTTCGCCTTTCAACAGCTCTTCCTGCTACTATTAGTTTTCAAGTGCTTCTTCCTCCCAACCTGGTCTCACCCCAGCTCCTCACTCGCCTCTCACTCCTCAGGCACTGCCCCACCCCTGAGATCTGTCCCCAGTCGGTGCTGAGGAGATGTCCCAAAGAGAGAGGGGTGAGCAGTCCTTGGAGTGCAGGGCAGGCACTGGTGGAGACAGCAGCCAGGCGGGTGGGGCAGTGGGCGTTGCCAGGCTGGGAAGGGGAAGACAGCTAGCTCCCCAGAGGGACCCACTGGGAAGAAGTTGGTCCATCCCAGCCCTGGCCCGCCCCGCAGGCAGCAGCCTCTGAGCTGAGTAAGTCTGGACCAGTTAGGAAACCCAGCCTTGCCATGTTCCCCACTCACCAACCTCAGGAAAGCATGTCTGTACAACCCGGCAGTCACTGGGTTAGTCATATTTCCTGGGTGGGGTCAATGATTCCGTACCACTTTTTCCTCCTTCCCCTATGCCTAACTCCCAATGGCCTACATTTGATTCTTTTTTTTTTTTTTTAAGTGCTTAGTTCTGAGGGGCTGGCAGAACTACACCCCCCCCCCAAAAACATTCTTTGCTGTCTCCTGAAAAGACCAAACCGCCTGCACTGCCTCTCATTCAGCAGATGTTTACTGTCATACAGGCTCAGCACTAGGGGACAGCAACCCAG